AAGGTAAGGGATGGTGGAGATCAGGGAAGTTAGCCTACACTAGCCAAAGCCCAGTTGGGTTCCCAAGCCATCCCTTACCCTGCCGCCCAATTTCACGGTACCGTAGCGCTGGTGGGTCTTGGCCGACAAGGGCAGGTGTCTTTCCGGTGGGTGGTGGGTTGTCCCGAAGAGTGGCCAGAAAATCTCGTTTCTGTCATGGCCATGCTAATCGGTATTTTAATGGGGTGTTGGGCTGAGAATGCACATACTGAGTAATACTCAGCATGGTCATGATCGAAGTATCATCCTCTGTGCATATTTAATCACAATTTCCCCAGTAGGCTAGTACTTAGTAGTCTAGACAGGGCTGAACACCTGCCTGGTGGTCCACCCCACAGCCGAGCTTTTGGTAACTCTCCAGTATGATAAGCGGTAGAATAGCGCCTGCCGTGATTACGAGGTATCGGATGGGATGGGATAGTAGCCCCCATCAAGAGCCACTAAGTTAGGTTTAGCAGGGGAGAAGCCGACAGTTTTCCAACGTTCACCTGGTGTACTACCAACTGCACCACGAAACCAGGTGCCAAGTCTTACACCAACACATAACTCATATAACGTATCTGTTCATGCTCATTTGCAAACAACCGTGGTGAGATTTTTATTGTGACTTTTCTCTCCCATCCAGGCATGATAAAGGCACCCGGAAACATGTTTTCGCACAGTTAATTTAGGTTAACCCACAAAATAATCCCTTTCTTGTACGAAAACATTCCCACCGCATCTCTCCGGGCAAGCAAAAAAGTCGTTGCCAAGGCCTTCCACCCCGTTTCATTCAAACGGCATCACTGTGAGCCTCTCACCCATCCAACCCATTTTTTTCGCCCCCACCACCTCCCGAGCTCCAACACCCTTACCACTACCCGCAATTTTCAACTCTTCCCAGGCATTTACCTTCCCGCCTCCACCATCAGATAGTCACATCCCTTCAGGGGGTCCTGCAGTTTTTTGGCGCTTGCGCCAGGGCGGCCGCCAGAGTTGTTCGACGCATTGCGAGCCTCTCTCGTCCTTCATTCAGCCCTGCTCTAACGCTGCAGAGGCGATTGACAGCGCAGCTGCACCGCAGATTTGTATCCTCGAATGGGAAGGATAGGGAGGTAGTAGTAAATGTGGATCTTGTGAATCGACAAATATATGTGCGTAATTTCATGAATAAGACTGGACTCAATCCCGCAGAGGTTGGAATAGTCTGACGGCAGGTACGATGATGTCCCCTTCTACCGGTTCCTCACTCTCTGCCTTCCATTTCTTATTTCTCGCGGGACGATTGGGAAACTAACGGCAATGGAAAATAGGTATTCTTGAGCAAACGACAATGGCAGATGCGGGATCTCGACTAATCTGTCTTGACATGCAAGCTACAACTTCTACGGCCCCTCGCGTGCTCGATACTATACTTTCCGCTTATACCGGTCTATCCGGAAATCCCCATTCGTGCGCACACCCACCTATGTCGGGGAAACAACGAAGGCGATTAGTGTTGCACATAAGGAGGCTGCAAAGCTTATTGGAGCCCATCCGAAGGAGATCATATTCACCCTTGCAGCCACAGAGTCAGACAAATTTTTTTGATCAAGTGTGTGGCAATGATTTACAAGTCTAACGAGCATATTATTACATTGCAGATGAAGCATGTGTGTGTGTTGGATTCGTGCAGCAATTTGCAAGACGAGGAGTATGATTACAAGTATCTCCCCATCCAGAGCAACGGCTTGATCAATCGGGAACATTTAGAGCAGGTGATCTGCCCGGGCGCGGCGCTGGTTTCGGTTGTGGTGGTCGGTAGTGGGGTTGATGTCGTCAGGCCGATGGAGGAGATCGAGAAACTGGGTGGACTGAACGGAGTCTTCTTCAGCACCCACGGCACGCAATCCGTGGACAACACTTCCGTCGATGTCGGTAAGTGGAATGACGACTTAACCAGTAACGTCATTTACGGTGAAACCGATCAGTACGTAGATCCC